ACAGTTCTTGCGTATTTAGTCATATTTCAGCCTTTCCTCCCTCTTTCACTTCCTTAAGAATGGCTTCTTGATAGGCACCATGCCACAGAGATCATTCCTGATGAGGCCTCAGTGAACAGAAGAGCTGGATGCATCTCTCATGCTGTGTGTCAGGTCTTTCCCGTTTTTCTTTCTTATTTCTTAAGGACATGACTATCAGTTACTGTTTATCTGCTGTAGATAATTTTGTTTTCGTTTTCTTTTTTGCTACTAAAAGAAATTTAGAAAATGAGTTAAAAACAGCCAATGTCCACGAAAAACTTTGAAAGACCTTCAGAAAGAATGGAAAACTTGCTCAAGACACAGAAATAAATGCTGTTTGAAGACTTTTGCACTCTACTGTAGATGTATAAAGATAAACCTGCATTGTGCCTTTATATCTGTAATAGCCCAGCATGATTCTGCTCCTCAAACATTATTGATCTAAAAAAAAAAGCTTTAGCTGCATTTAGTTGTATAGTCTCCGCCGCTGCGCTGATAAACCACTCAGTTTGCTAGTGACAGCATTCTTCAAATAAGCACTTTATGTTGGAGAGACTCTTAGTTCAATAAATTACAGATTACTGCTATGATCTTCCTTTCGTAGAAAACCTTTGCCTGGAAAATAAGTAATTTCCATCAGCAGGCTGGTTTTATCTGTTTGTCACTGTCTGTTGGTTCTTCCAGTCAGATGTTCTAAAAAAAAGAAGAATTGGACGTCATCCCTTCAGCCCATAGATATGTCCTGACCTTTGAGACCATACCATTGGCAAGTGAGGTCAAACGTGTGTCCTCATGCTTTTGTTTTGAGGGGTGATATAACTATAAGACACTGGATACCCACTGACTTAATGTATTGATCCGCCCATAATAGCAGGTAGGAAACATCTCATACCACCTGCTTCAAAGTTTTTCTTTCCGTGTGGGATATAATCTTATTACTAAGCCAGTTCACCTTTACATGGCCCTTAAACTGCCAGACAAATCTGATATTGCTGACTTTGCAAGGTGAATGAACTACAGAATAACGGTATAGTGAGGGTGATAGCGGCAAGTTTGGTTAAAAAGTCAAACTACACTAAGAGAGCACCCTGCGTTTCATTCCAAAGATACCACTGAATATATAGCGTTTAACCACCATTATTAGTTTTCATGCATTTTCTTTTAAAAAGAAAAACACTGAGCAATCTTTTCCTGCACGGTGTAACAAAGCAACAATTTTAATCCTATTGCATGGACGAAACATTGTCTAAACCTCGTGACTTGTTCATCGAGGTTGACT